CACAGACACCCCCCCCCCCAATGAAAGAATAGACCATTCCAAGCTTGTACTTGTTGTTAAACAAATGTTTAAACAACTCTATTGAATCATAAAATAGTTTTAATTGTAATGTTTTCTCTTGCAACCAGCACAACACTAATTGACAACACAGATCCAGTATTTTAGTCAAGTTATATATTTGTTCTGAAAAGAAATCAAAACATTTAGAGAGTGATATGAAATTCTATTATGCTATATATGGCATTATATATCTAATCGCTAGATTTTTTCTGCGCCCATTCTCCTCATTTGGTTGTTTTTAGCTCTAATTTACTCGAACAATACAAGTTACTTGTAAAATGTTACAAGTAATATGACATATTTCCATCTTCTTAGGATATTAAAACATTTTTTAATTCTTTAGTTGACTTTTTGTTTTTTATTATTGGTTTGTTTGGTTTTTTTACACAAGGGTTCCAAAAAATTGAGAGTTCAAATAGAATGGAAACCAGAACAACAGGGGTATTCTTGGTTAAATATATTAAAACTGAAATGGATATATATAGAGATATGAATGAGAATAATGGGTCACAATAAATAATATTAAAAACCGTCTGATTAGTAAGTTGTTTTAAATGTGTTTTTTTTTTCCACTTAACCTCAAAGCTGTTATTTCATGTTATAAATGTTTTCTGTTTGGATTGTTTATTAATAAAAATGATGAAGTATATTCATGATTTGTGTTTTCTTTACCAGGTAGATGATCAAATGAAACTTCTTCAGAACTCGTGGAGTGATCTTCTTTTGCTGGACCACTTGTACCACCGGATTCATAATTTTCTTCAAGAAGAAACAATTTTGCCAAATGGCCAGAAATTCGACGTTTTGGAAATGGCCCTCTTAGGTCTCAGGTCCTTAGCAGATCAATTCCATCGTGTAAATGCGAGACTTCAAGGCCTTAAGTTTGATCGTGTGGACTACATATGTTTGAAAATCCTAATTCTACTGAATCCAGGTAAGTGTTTCGGATTCTCCAGAGTGTCTTGAATGAGAATTCACAATTTGAATTCATTTTAAAAAAAACCAACTAGAAATGAAGTATGAAGTCACTATCATTAGAGATTTACCCATAGAAGGGGAAAATCAAGTGAAATAAAATAGTTAGAAAGAACGTCGTGAAAATATAACAAACAAAACTGAATTTGTGGTCATTTCGCCTTTTATTATTTGTATCTAATGTTTTAAATCGCTGAAGTTTTAATTACTATCTTGCGCTATTTATTTAATACGAAGACTTTTAAACTTTGTATATACCCTTGTAACTGGATAATCTTGGAAAAATCAGGCCAGATTTTTTTGTAACCGTGCAGCATATTGTGAAACATAAATACATTTACTACTAAAGTTCGTAGCTTCGTAAACAACAACAAAATAACGTCGAGTTTGTTCCCTTATTTTTTATCAGTCAATTAATAGGATATAAGTTTTCTTTTTACTTATTGTAGAATACCAGTTTGAATCATTTAGACGAACGTCTGGGATCATAACATAAGAAAAAAAAATCTCTCCCCCCCCCTCCAACTGATTATTTATGTAAATTGTGGCCTTCACGTAACATGAAACAGAACTTTTTAAATTAATTTTTAGAATATAAACAATTTACTCACAAGTTATTAAAATGTTTATAGAAAGGTAGTTCGATTGGAAAAACAACAAGTCAAATCCAAGTTATACTGTAAGAGCTCAGTACTTAACCCTAACAATAATTAAATATTCAACATTATAAAAACCATCGCTGATGAAAGCATCTTGGAGAAGTGAATGGGATTGTAGATATTGCCTTAAGATACTTTAAATCACGTTGTTCGCATTTAGGCTTCGAAAGAATCTCAATTAAATTCTTCCAAATGATGAGTTTCAAATTCAAAAATGCTTAACCTTTAAAATTTAAAAAAAAAAATGTTTTAGAATTTTCTCGCAAAGCTACACAACGGCTTCTTTGCGCATATCCGTCCTTAATTTTGAACTGAAAGACTAGAAGGCTCTGTGAAAGCATTTATTCACCAGCACCGACTGCCAGCTCTCTGTGAAAGCATTTAGTCACCAGCACCGACTGCCAGCTCTCTGTGAAAGCATTTATTCACCAGCACCGACTGCCAGCTCTCTGTGAAAGCATTTAGTCACCAGCACCGACTGCCAGCTCTCTGTGAAAGCATTTAGTCACCAGCACCGACTGCCAGCTCTCTGTGAAAGCACTTAGTCACAAGTACCGACTGCCAGCTCTCTATGAAAGCACTTAGTCACCAGCACCGATTGCCAGCTCTCTTATCTAACCGAATAGTGGGATTTGCCTATCACTCTTATAGCGCACGCACAGCCCCAAAGTGCGGAACGCGTTTTAGTGACAACAGAATGCGAACCAGGATCCTTAACTTCACAGTCGGGCACACTAATCAACAGCCACACCCGGCCTTCCTCTCCGTTTACAAAAGCCCTTGTTTCAGTAATTTGCTTTTTCCAATGTATTTTAAATACATTGTAATTGCATAATTGTCTCTCCAAGTAATGTCACTATGTAGTTTTGATGTTTCTATTATCCTCGTCGTGTTTTTTTGTAATACACTACGTATGAAAAGCTATTTTATCGGTGTTATATATACATATTCAACGTGTATTAGTCATGCTTGTTTGTTTGAGAGCAAAGCTATATTGAGCTATCTGCTGTGTCCACCATGGGGAATCGAACCCCGTATTTTAGAGTTTTAAATCAATAAACTAACCAGTGTCCCACTGGAGGATATTAGTTACGTAACCTTAAGAACTTTTAACCAAAGAATAATAATAAAGAGCCAGGCGTGGCCTAGTTGCTAGCGTGCCCGAACTGTGATTTGGAAGGTTCATGGTGTGCGTTCCGTTGTTGCAAAAACTCGCTCTACACCTTGAGGCCATGGACGCACTTTAAGACAAGAGTAGTCCAAGAACCGCCAGTGGGCACTTTGATTTCCCTCTAGTTCATCATTTCAAGTTCAAAGACAGCTTTGCGCTGAATGACCCTTGTGTAACTTGTGCGTAAATTCTAAACAACAAAAAAAAACAACAACATCAATGCAATAAAATCTTAAGTGACTTTTATTTCTGTGCGTAATTATACTTCTTTAAATTGGTGTTGTTGTCTTTTTTTGTTTTCACCATTTCACGTGTAGTCTTCCAATTGTGATCCAGTCGGTAAGTCAATGTCCCATCGGCCTTGATTAAAGAACGAATAAAAACACATTACACTAATACTTTGTGTCTTTTCTCATAGCAAAGCCACATCGAGAGGAATCGAACCCCTGATCTTAATATTGTAAATCTGAAGACTTACCTTTGTCCCACCGGAGGGAGGGACATACTAGTACTATTAGTAAAATAAATTTCAACTTTTTTTCGTGATATTTTCTGCTCATGTTTCTACTATTAGTAATAATAAAAACACAAGCAAAAACGTATCAAAAGATTGTTTATATTTATTACTTTTTTATTATGCAATACATAAAGTGTATTTTAAGTTGAAACTAGTTTATCTTCTTTCCCTTCAATCAGAAGTACCACTGGTTACTAATGTTAAATTGATACAAGAAGCCCGTGAACGGACCAGACAGGCATTACACGAGTATTGTGCTTCCTTTTATCCCGAATATCCGGTAAGTGCCAAATAGGAAATAGGTTTTGACCTCATAGTGACTGATAGGCCTTAATTTACTGATACTCTATCATGTGCAAGCCTTGATCAAACAACTCCATCTGTCGAAAATTTAGTTATTTTTGCGCATCTTACCATAGAGGTGGCTCATTTTGTGGGTGTGTATTAACATCAATCACTCAGAGTTGGCTAGCTCCATTACTGTAATTATTTGGTATGGTAACTCGAAATTGTCCGATGGTGTACATGGGCTATTTTATTTTAAGATATTTGCCAGACAAGTGGGATAAAAAACGACAACCTTTCAAAGAGTTTTTTTTAAATATATAGTGATTACTTATTAATATCCAAGGCGAAGAAATTATAAGAAAGATTTATATTTCACTTGTAAAATAGTCTCAAAAGTAACGCTGATTTTGTAAATTTTTTTCCAGGACAAATATGGCGATCTTCTTCAAACATTGTCCGAGTTGAGACACATTAGTACTCAAGGGGAAGACTTTATCTACTTCAAGATTGTTGGTGATAACACAGCAACACAGACTCTTCTTACGGAGATGTTACACGCAAAAAAAAAATAACACTTGTTGAAAATTTAGGGTGCTATAATTGGGGACTTCAATTCTTAAAAATAGAAAAAAGTCAAGTTATAAACAGTTATGTTCCTTGAGTGTTTAAATCATTATAAGAATTAATGTTTTTTTTTATGAAATCATGCATGATAAAAGAACAGTATTTGTTAAAAAAAAAATGAATGACATCACTAAGGGCACTTAAAATATGGTGCAAAATCACAAGTGTCAAAAGAAGGTATGTGGAAAACGTAGTCACCATGGAAATCACCTGAAATATTATGTTTTGTTTTTTTTTCTAATGAACATTTTTCTATATTTTACTTTGCATCATTCATCATATCAAAGAAAACAATATTCATTGTCATTTCATTCTATAAGTATGACTGGATAATCTATTTTTCTATTACAGTTGTAAATGTGTGAAAAACAAAAGCACTGCCATCATCTCATTTCTTGTGCATGACAATTAGCCAATTATTGGTTTGAATTATCATTTGAATGAAGCCTTCTGCCTACTGGAAGCACAAGTGAAAAAAAAACAGTTTCCCAATCTCTTCCTCAACAAAAGAAATCCAGCAAAAACGTTTCGTTACCACCTAACTCAGGGACAAGCACAAAATAAAACATTTCAACTGCCAATAATATACTTGCCTGAAAACCAGAATGGTCAGCATAGAAAATCCCAGCTTTGGACAGAGTATATAAGAAAAGGACTCAGTCCATTAAAAAAAAAAAACATTTCCAAAAACAGCACATTTATTCGATGCTTCAAACAAAAATGGACTGAATGATACACATTTCTGCCTTTTTCTTGACAAGATGTTGTTGTTGCTGATCTTGTTGTTAAATGAATAGTGCACATATATATATATGTATGTATTATGTGTGTGTATGTATACATTCCTTTTTGCCATAGCACTGATATTATTTTTAAATATTCTTAAACTACTGGTGTTGGTTTTAAATATGGTGGTATACAAAACTTTATTATTAAATGTAAGAGCTGATATTTATACACTCCAGAATGTACTACTGGCAAAAAGTGAAATTAACTGGATGTTTGTTGTAAGTGTTTTTGTTATATATTAATGAGGTATGTACACAATATTCAAGTAAGTCAAACTAAACATGCGGTGTTTCTTAAAACATATATATATATATATATGTTTGTTTCACAAGTAAAACATCAAACGTAATTTATTAAAAAATGCTAGATACCACGACAATTCAAAGCTAAAAACAGACATGTTTGTTGCATTGCTGAAATATTTTGCAAATCGATTGAAACTCTTGCGTAAGAACAATGGTGGCCCAATCAAGCGATATTTGTACTTGGAATTACTTTTTGATTGAATTAAAATCTTATTTTACTTTATGCTCACCGGGGGAAAAAAAATGTGATTTATTTTGCAACACCCCTTAGTTAGAGCCAACTACAACATAATATTGTTACTTCTCTGTTCGGTAGTTAATTTTCCGTAAATTCGTTCCGACGAAACTTTAGCGACACGAGTCCTTTCTTAAATAAAACTGGTTTATTCTTTCCGAATACAACTTTACGATACACTTAATTTGAACAGTCGCTCTATAACAAACGCTCACGTCTCACGTGGCCAACAATATTTTATCCGCATACATTCAATTACTCATTGCACTGTTCCCGTCACGTTGTGAACGTCTTATATATATATATATATATATATATATATATATAAAAGACTAACAGATATCTAGTAAATGCTAGGGCATTCTTGAAGGAACAGGATATTTCTAGAAAACGGGTGGCGTGATACTAGTCACGTGACCTCGCTGACGCAACAATATTTTAACAACAAGGGACCATTTGTTAAAGGTTGTCCCTAAATAGCCACCACACCGACAAAAATAAAATTCAATAAACCCACTTTTATTTATAAGAAACTCGTCTCATCTCAAAACTCTTGTAAAGTCAGTCACTGTCACTGCCGACAACAATTCATTCTATCAATTAATCATCCTGTTATAAAAAGAAACTGTTTTAACTGGAGCATAGCATGTCTTTCTAAATCTTAAAAATTTATCTTCTCTTTTTGTTATTTTCAGAATACTGCATGAAAAAACTAGAAGTCCTATTTATCTTGAGTTAATTTATTTTCACTCTTCTCAGATTTTGGCATAGGCTTTCATTTAATATTACTGGCATCAACTATTATAAATTTGAAATGGAATTTTATGTACCAAATTTTGATATAAGAACACAAAGCTAAATATTGGATGCTTTATAGGTGGTGTAACGTAGCACTAGAATGGTTTTAGTAAACAGGCTGAAAGACAGTTAAAAGGTGTCAGATTATGAAGTGAAAACACTGAATTAATTTTCTGTTTTTAATAACTCCACTTGTGTCTTGATAGAGAAGTAAGTCTTACAACTTCCAAAGAAATTAGTTAATTCATTATCTTTTGGAAGAAAGACTTTCCTCATTAAGTGTGATTTGTTAAAATCAAATTATCGGGTTTTTGAAACAGTATCTACATTTTGTTCCTACTTCAAGTATCATAAGTTACGTTTAAAAAAATAATATTCAACTGACGTTTTTTGCAGTACAATGGATTTTATAAATGTTAATGTAATATACAATTATCTGTGTATTTCAATTGTAATTAAGGCTTAAGAATTTAAGAAAAACTTTTTTATTTTAACATGTAAATATTTAAGAAATTAAAATATTAGAAATCATTGATGTAAACTAAAAAAAAAAGAGATCTAAACTGGCCAGTTCTTACAATAATTTGTAGAACTACTCAAAATGTCATTTTATAGAAAAAATAAAAATTCATATATTTTGGAAGTTAACTGTCTGGTAATATCGACTGCAAGCGTAGTGTTTGTTTGTAATTTCGCGCAAAGCTACACGAGGCCTATCTGCGCTAGCCGTCCCTAATTTAGCAGTGTAAGACTAGAGGGAAGGCAGCTAGTCATCACCACCCACCGCCAACTCTTGGGCTACTCTTTTACCAACGAATAGTGGGATTGACCATCACGTTATAATGCCCCCACGACTGTAAGGGCGAGCATGTTTGGTGTAACAAGGATTCGAAGCCGCGACCCTCAGATTGCGAGTCGTGTGCCTTAACCACCTGGCCATGCCGGGCAATAATTAGTAACAGAATATAAAGATTGTGGAGATGTCTGGAAAAGTTGAGCTATTTCACATTATGTTAGAAACTTAATAGCAATCCTGATAATACAGAGTAATGGAAACTGCTAATTCAATAAACAGGAAATAAGAGTATTCGGGTAATAAATGAACAGTGTTAATGAAGCGTAAATATCTGGAAGTTCTCACTGTATACAACTCTGAATCGTTTCTTTTGATTCAAATCTGAATTAAAATGCTTAAAAAAAGAACTGAATTAAAACCTCATCTGATTTATGCTGTTAATTTCAAATATTATCTGACTTGTGATGTTTGGGAAAATCGGTTATTTATTTGGCTATCTTTGGCAAATAATTGGTGAAG